TGTCATTTTAACCAAACCATTCATTGACCACTCATGTCTTTTTGCATTTGGACACATCTGCATTTATATTTCCTATTTAATGAATCAGGTTTTTCTTTAAATTGTCCTTTCATCATAGGTTTGGTAGAAGTTATCTTTAGTTCATGGTGTATAAATCTTCCTCTTTTCTTTAGTTTGCCTTCAATAAGAACTAGCTGGAGACATATGCTCTACTGTGTGCTGTTCCAGCTGCTTGTGTTTTTAAAGGGGTATTGAGACTCTGCAGGGAGATTTCCCAAATGTCCCAGAAAATAAAGTTGTTGGAGTCATGAGTCAAACCACAAACTTTGTAATAGAAAGTCTGTGTAAGAAACGCAAGGAGTTTGGAAGACGTAGGTATTTACCAGACATGGTGGGTCAAAAGAAATAATGCTATTGGCTGCATTGTAGGAAAAATATGATCTGGTGGAGGAAGAGCACCACTTCAGATTAGTATGAATTACCTTTAATAACCATGTATTTTACAGTACAAGAAAAAAGAAGTAAGTTAAAGCATATATTCAACAACAATGTCAAAGCCTCCCTGGCCAAACCCTGCAGGCCGTCACGAGATGAGCGCCAAGTAGATTGACGGAATTGCTGAAGAGCAGCATTCCTCCAGATGAGCAGTATCTCGAGCGTTCAGCATCATCACCAAGCCGAATCAAGTTTGTCTTATCAGCAGACAGGTTGAACCACAACACTGAGCATCGTCAGCAAAGAGCAGGAGCCCAGAGGGGATCAGACATCAGAGTAATCAGCCACTAAATGTAAGAAAAAGAGAGAAGCTGTCACACCATGAAACTCGTCTTTACTCAGAGGAAAAGGACAATTCTCTTCAATAATGTTCCAACAACCACCATGATTTACTTTGCAATAAACAGAATTATAAAACAATCATGTGATTTTTTTCATGCTCAGCGTCTACAGGACGTAACCGTCCACATTGACGGAGACGAGTCCAAAACCTGGAGCCAAAGCCGAAGAACAGCAGCTCGTTCCAGACGTCAGCTTAATCTTTCTCGAAGCTGCACAGTAGCACACATGGCCCCAACGAGACTGTCATAATTCTCAATTTTAAATACATTTTTCACCGATGCTCCACAGCGTGTGGATCAGCTGAAACTCACGCTTCTTTCCCTGAGATCCAGGCAGAGATTGCATTAATCACCACAGTTACCCCTCCTAAGTGAAGACAGAGAGCAACAGCTGGGGGAGAGGAGCTCAGCTTTAAACAGTACAGAGTGCAGGAGGTTCAGCCATCGCTTCTTGTTGAGCATTCTGACATCAGTAGTAATGAACACCTTGGAGCGTTGCCCGCCTGCCTGAGCATGAACTGCTATCACACATGATGCTGGGCATGGAGGCAGTTATTGTCTGAGTGTCTTTGTATGAGCTGGTGTTAGTGGGTCTGTGTGTGTGTGACCATTGCAGTGTACACTCCTCTGTGCACCTGAACGCCCCGGTGCGTTGCTGCCTTTCACTGTGCAGATGTGAGTAATATGCAGAATAACAGGAAGGCCTAAATGACCTGGTCTGACAGGAACAATTAATCAGAACGTTGGTGGTGCTCTCGGACGAGACCGGGGTGTCACGCTGAGGTTACACCTGCAAGTGCTGGAGCTGCAGTGGGATCCAGAGCACCAACACACACTGATCTTTAAAAGATGTATGGCTGGCTGAACTGCTTTTATTTCAAATAAAGAAAAAAATGCACACATGGTTTTTTCTTATTAATAAATGCTCAACTCAGCCACATACTAAATATATTTTCTCATAAAGAAAAGTCTTGTCTAGGCAAATAAGACTAAATTATAAACATTTCTATCTTGTATCCTCAGCTATAATGTCTCAGTCTTTTACAAAAATAGAAAACAGTACACATATGGACAGACTTGAATTTATTTTATTCTTTTCAGTCTCATTATTCATGAAGTCCAATATTTATTCCCTTTTTGCTCTGTTTTGTTCTCCACCACCTCCTTAGGGAGGTGCCTGGCTATTCAGCTGCTGAATGTGCACTGAACATAATGGAGATATATTTCTGCAGGTAGGAACAAAATGTGGATATTCGATGAACTGCTGCATCTAAAATGCTTGAAAATGAAATGGTACAAAACAAAAACCGTAAAGCGGCAGGCTTTAAAACCAAAATAAAACAATAATCATAAACATATACACATTTTACCTTACACAAGAATATGTCACACTTGTTCAATGATTATTAATTGTCATATGTTAATTTGGCACTATGAGTAAATAACTTTTTAAGGAGGCAAGAAAAACACATCGTTAATGACTGGTCAGTTGTAAAACTGGAAAATGACTCTAATTAGGAGAATCCAAAATTAGCATACATGATATCTGGATACAAATACAAATGTCTTCAGTGTTTATATCTCAGCAGGTAGATGTTCACGAACAGCCGCTGCTACATTACAATTCTGTGCTCACATCCTGCTTTGGGAATTCAGTTGTCACTAATCACAGTAAATCAAATTAAACGCAGACTCAAACCCGGGCGCTTTCCATTCTGCTGCTCTTTTGTCCAATCTTCTGTCAGTGCTGGAGCCACCTAGCCAGTTTCGATGCCTTGCCTCCACTACACACTCTCACTCACACACACACACACAACACCAGGAGGTCTTTGCTTGCTGATCTATGTAGGACAAGCAGTGGGGTGTCTGAAGTAATAAATGAACAAGATGAATGTGGGGGATATGTTCATTTGAAAGCTCTTGTCACTGAGGGTTTGTCGTCTGGCTGCACAAAGGGTGGAGCCGTCCTGCCTGATTTGCTGTAGATTCAAACCGTGGCCAAATTGGAAATCGTGAATCACTCTGACACCGTTGGCGCAAGATGGATTACTCCAGTTAAAGGCTGCCTTTTCTTTACTTTGGTCCTTTTTAAAGAAATCATACAAAAATTAATTTTTCTGACAGACGGCCGACCTGGGCAGTCAATGAAAGGAACAGCAAAAGGAGGCAAGGACTGAGGCACTACAAAGCCGGTCTTATCAGCGCCGCACTATCCCGAGCGCATCCAAAAAGCTCTCTGCAGCACAATGGGCCTGGCAGAATATTTGATCAACTGTCTCAGGTTTAACAAGGCTTGCCAAACTACACCTGCTGGAGGAAAAAGATATGCCTTTGAGCAGGGCACTGCCTCCCTCAAGATGTTAAGGAAATAAGCGTTTGATGTTCACAATACCCAGTCGGCACTAATCTCATCCAATCTCCAGCTCTTCAAGATTTGCAGGACTGAACAATGGCTGACTGGAAACCAACCTCACCTTCCAGCATAATCCATCTATAAATTACAAACCAGTACACTCACACGACTGTGGACTAAATAGAGCTTTTACAGACTGAATTCAGTGCAATATAAATGTCCTTCATGCCAATGGCACGGTGGATATTAATTCATGGTGCACTTGGAAACTCTCCCACACACACAGTCAGGTGGAGGATAACTCACTTGGACAGAGGTGTAAATTCATGTGCTCCCTGTTTCTTTCTGTCTTTGAGTCTGAGTTGGATATGTGTGTGTGTGTGTGTGTGTCTCTGTGTCTCTGTGTCTCTGTGTGTCTGTGTTCACCCCAACTCATCGTTGCCGGCTGCAGCTCATTGCCCTGCAGTAATATCAGGCCTTGCAGACACCTGGGACCAGTGGTGTGGACCCTCAGAGGAGGCAACCGCCTGGCAACTGGCCCTGATTACTTTCTCCACTCTCTGGAACTCAACCCTGTATATGCCATTAACCAGCTCCACGCAGTGTGATCCCAACTCGACCGTGCCATTAACCCTGTACACAAAGGGTTGTTTACAAACGTACACACACACACACACACACACACACACATACACACGACACACGACACACAACCCCAGGTCTTAACCACCAGCATCATGTGAGCACAGCCTGTGCAGCTGGATAACATGAAACAAGAGTGACATCTAGTGGCCAACTTGGAGCACAACATACAGGGGCCGTTACATACGAGCAGGATTTGAATATAATATAAAATAATATAAAAAGAAATGTGGCAGAAGATGTGACTCTTGATTATATTGTCTGATAACTGAAAAAAGAGTTTCAATGTGATCTCACTATAAACTCACTGTTGCCTTCCATACACCAACCCAGTGTGAGCGGAGTCTCCTGTGTGTTTAACGTTAATCTCGCACACCACACTTCCATATGTGTAACATTAATTATCCAAATTTCAATATTAAACACTCCTAAATAGATAATAAAATAAATACATACAATAAAATCAAAATAAATTACAGATATTTGGGATGCATCAAAAAAGTACTAATAACTAATAACACCAGTGATAATACACAGAATATGAACAGTTGTATTTAACCATCGAAAAATGCTCTAATGAATCACTTTCTGTAGCAGTTTGAAATATGTTGTCTTGAATTCTTGAATTCAACTGAAAATATCCAGGTTATGTTACTCAACATACTCATTATGTTGAGTAAGTTTTCATGTTCTGTGATACAAACACGTCATCATTTGTTTCCCCAGGGTGAACTGAAACGTCAACAATAATCAGACTAGATGGAAAAATACAGTTGCTGAGGGCGGGGTTATGGTTTGGCCCCCTTCTCACCAGGGGGCGCTGTTTCCCAGCATATGATTTTCCTTTTTCATTTCCTTCTCAAAAAATAAATTGAACAGGAGATTATCTCATATACAAGAAATAAAAACACTTAAATCAAAAAATCACATACATTCTTATATTTATACCAAATGAATGAAGGGATGTGAAAATGTCAAACTACACATACATCCTTAAAAATAACCAGGACAATACTCCAAATAGGTTGACAAGGACAAAAAAGACAACGAAACAAATTTAAATACTTTGTCCTCCCCTTATTTTACCCTCATATAATTATAATACCTCCCATCACACCTTCCCATCTTTTAAAGTCAACTAGAGAGTAAACTTCCACCGGCTGTATGTAAATGTAAAACACAGCCACAGACCAGCCTGTACATCAGGTTCACGTTGTATTTCCTTCTCTCACTTTGGAAACACTTTGTCTCACATGTGACTGAGCCGCAAGGAAAGAAACACAACCTTATCTGACGTATGCAAATGTTTGAGGACTCTGCGCGTCTCCCTGTGGAAGAGTTTTTTCAGGAGGGAGGTGCCAAGAAGTCTGAACATTGTCAAAGCTGCTGAACGTGAAGAGGACTTCACTGGGACTTCCGATCACACGAGGACAAGAGGAGACGCCAGGAGACACCAGAAGACACCAGAAGACACCAGCAGGTAAGTTGTCGCTTCGCCTCTGCAGTGAGATTTGTTAACGATGATAGTGAAAAGGAGGCTGTAACCTGAAACCTTTCACCCACCGGTTCCTGCAGACATGTCCGACCTGTCACCTCTGTCAGAAACAGCTGTATTCTTACAGTCAGTGTGTGTATTACCTCACAAACTGTTAGCATACACTTTACTGCGAACACACTGTGTGGAAAGCTGCAGCCTTCCTCCCTGTAGTTACCTGACAGAGGCCGATCACACTTTGCAGTGAGAAGAACAGGCCTCTTTACCTGATGGTTGCTTTTGTCTCCTGGTGTTTAACAAACAATAACCAACGTTGAAACTTATCTGATGCCGTTTGTTTCTCTTCCATGTTCTTGAAATATATATATATTGAGAAGTAACATGGAAAATGGAAGATATCACATTAGGAAGGAATAGAAACTTCATGGCTTGGATGAATTATAATGTATGAAAACTTTTTGGAATGTTCTGGGTCCTATGATTTGTGTTTAGTTTATACTTACATCACAGTGCCCTGGTAGACCCAAGGAAACTAAAAACAACATAAGAGCAAGATAGTCTCACTAAGTTGCACTGTGGCTTAATATGGCTAACACAGTTATTTAAAAAATGATGATTTACTCTGTTTTGTTATTGATTAACTGATTTATCTTTGTTGCTCAAAAGATGATTTCTCTATCTGTACTTTAAACACAAGCCTTCACAAGACGACTGACCTTCATCACATTTAAAATTCCAGTTGACATATCCAAAGATATCTGTCAGACTGAGATATGTGCGTTAGTATGGAATAAGATGCAGAACGTCAAACAGAAACAACAGACTGTTAAGATATTCGATTTGAGTTAATTCAACATGTATTCCTAATAAATGTCATTTTTCTTCCGTCAGTCAGTGAATATCATCCAGAGGAGGATATAACACGTCTTCTATGCAGCTGAATAGAGGCCCAGATGCTCCATCATGGATCAGGTACTTCCCAGCCAGAGCTCAGCTGCAGGTCTGCTGGAACCAGACAGCGAGGAGCTCCAGCTCAGGGTGGGCTCCTTCAGGAAACTGGGTTACTCCTCAGAGGAGGTCAGGTCTGCTCTGAGGAAGCTGGGGCTCAGCACAGACACCAACTCGGTGCTCGGGGAGCTGGTCAGGATCCGGACCAGCACCGCACCCTGGAGTTCTGACGGAGATGAGAGGAGAGGCGGACTAAAGGACCCTCTCCTGCCTCCCAGCTGGGCCAATGGACCCAGAATCACGACACAACTGGGGCACCAGAAGAATACAGAAACAGAATTGAGACCTATTGTGATTGACGGCAGCAATGTTGCCATGAGGTAAATCTGAGAGCAAGTGTTTCCTCTCTTTTATGGGGCCAGTAGATCAGTAACTTAAATCATTATCTGTCCTTTTCGTGGTTATGTTTGCTACTTTGAACTGCAGAGCTGCCACATATGTACACAAAGAGTTACTGCATCCAGCGACCTCAGGGGCTGGTGTCATCGACCTGGGGACAGAAAACTACCTGTAGTTTCAAACTACCATTGCCTAATGCCACGTTGTCTTTCACCTCTGACCCTGAAACAAATGCATCTTCCTCCTCCGCGGTGGTGGAAGATGTTTTTTTAAAGGCGTTCACCATCCTGTCTGTGCACGTTTTTGCAAAGGCAGCAGCTACAATATGCAAATTCCAGAGACACACCTCATGATAGATAATTAAGTGTAATGTAAATACATGACGTTCACACTTCACAGTAATAACCTGAGGGGAGGCCCCGTTAATGAGAACACTCACGTTTGAACAGATTTACTATTTAGTCAAATTATCTGTGTTCATTTATTTCTACTTGTTCCCCCGCCTCTGTCTTTTACAGCCACGGCAACAAGGAAGTGTTCTCCTGCCGAGGCATCCAGCTGGCAGTGAATTTTTTCCTGGATAGAGGCCACTGCACCGTCACTGTGTTTGTTCCCAGTTGGCGACGAGAGCAGCCCAGACCCGACGCCCCCATCACAGGTAACGAAACAAGAATGTACGACACATTCCCAGTCAAAGCAGAAACGTGTGATTGGCTAAACCTTAAGTTAGCAGAGGCAAACACCATTATTTGACTGTAAAGTTTTGCAAACAGGTAAATTCAAATGATAGATAATGGTTCAAACAGAAATAACATTAAACTCTTTCTTTACCTCTTTTACTCCACAAATTTGCAGATATACGCAGTTTTTTTAAATGTGGGAAAACCTGTTAAAAAGGTGATTGACTGATTTTTCCATCACCAGTAGAGGGGTTTGCCTCTCTGTAGCTGTAGGTGCATGTGTATTCCTCTATCTGTTGTATTCCCTCAGCAGTCTTGTGATAATGTTTGAATGTTGTCCGAGGCTGAGCTGCGGAACACGTGACAGATGCATGTGGCAACACAATCAAGATTATGAAAGAGAGCTACTGAGTTATGTTTTAACACGGACCCACGAGAGCAGCGGGTGTGGGAACCTTAAATGATTTCCTCCAGCACTTTCCATGAGGTTACAGTATGATGGTGTGATAGTCGTATGGCAGCAGGGCACAATAAAGGGCTCTACATGTTTGATGGCTGAGTCATTAAGGTTTCTGGGTGTATCTGAACAATCCATGTCAAGATCACGGCATCTGACTTTTGATGCCTTTTATTCCATCTCTTCTTTCCACCCACTGATAATGACAACAACAACAACTTTCAAAAAATGAAGAAGCTTCTGCCCTTTTCAAACTGATGCATCATCACCTTGTGCCTCTCAGGATTTAGTAACCGCTGCTCCCCAGGGTGGAGTAATCAAAAGGATCTGTTTTCATTCAGCGAACAAGGAAGTAAAAATCAGCCTGCAGTCATTCCAGGGAAAGCCCCATCAGGAAGTACAGCTGTGTTTTTACTCCCACACCTAGTTGAGAGTTGCTCAGGCTGAAGTTAAGTGCTGACAATCATCTACAGTAGTGAAGACAAACACCCTGAAACACACAGACACTTGTTAACAGACGTGGTTGAACGTACTGTCTGTGTGTTTCGTGTCACCTGCAGGCCTCTTGGATGGTTCATTTCATTTCACTTTGAATTTGCAATAAGCGCTAACAATGCACATATTGTGTTTCCATTCACTCTTGCAGGTAGAGAAATATGATATTATGTACATGGAGATAGTTCTGATGTTGGTTCAGGTGATCTAATGCCTTCTTTGTGTTCTGGGATTTGATCGCTGGAGCTTTGTCGGATGGTTCTTCTTTTTTTTCTTTTTTTTTAAACCTTGTGGTTATTGTTGCTTGACTGTGCAGTCGAGGATAATGATCAGTGCATGTCACATTACATAACAATGGTATGCAGCTAATATACAGCTGTGATAATGATACACCACAGTTAAATACAGCGTTAAAGGGTAATGGCTCGGACATGATTGTTTGCATTTCCAGACCAACACATCCTGATGGAGCTCGAGAGACGTAAAATAGTGGTGTTCACGCCGTCGCGGCGAGTTGGGGGCAAGAGAGTGGTCTGCTATGACGACCGCTTTATCGTGAAGTTGGCGTACGATTCGGACGGAGTGATCGTATCCAATGACACCTACCGTGACCTCCAAGGAGAAAGGCCTGAGTGGAAGAAATGCATCGAGGAGAGGCTCCTCATGTTCTCCTTTGTGAATGACAAGTAAGCAACGAGTGTGTTTCTCTTTTCCATCACTTTCCTTTTCACAAATAAGATTTAATGCAGCTGCAGAGGGAATTCTACAGCTCGAGAGAAAATCCTCCTCCTGATTTCTCATAAATGCGTTTTATTTTGTGTTTCCTCCAGGTTCATGCCCCCTGATGACCCTCTGGGTCGCCATGGCCCCAGTCTTGACAACCTCCTGAGGAAGAAGCCTCTGCCTACAGAGACGAAGAGGCTGCTCTGTCCTTATGGTGAGATTCTATTAATACATGTGTCAGGAGGAGAATCCCTTTAGCTGCAACGTAGATGCATTGGGTGGTTTTTTTGGACAAAACAAAAATGTGGCTCATAAATTAAATGACCTTTACCTTTTTTTGTTTTTCTCAGACAAAAAGTGCACTTATGGCATCAAATGCAAGTTTTACCATCCAGAGCGAGCCAACCAGTCCTACCTCTCTTTGGCTGATGAACTGAGGGAGAAAGCCCAGATTTCTACTGCGAAAGAAGAGAAAAAAGTCACATTATCACCCAGACAGCTGCAACCTGACACAGGACCTGCTCATAAAGCAGGTTCTCATCCTCGAGACTCTAACACGGAGCTTGTGAGAGACGGGCAAAGTTCCTCATATCCAAGTGTCACCAGTGAAAACAAACTGTTGTACTGGGAGGATCCTATGAAGAGTTTCAATCATTTGCTCCACTCAGGCCAGAGTCAGAAAGATTGGCCTGGGCTGCACTCGGCTCCCAATCATTACTACACCAACGTCTCTAACGAGTACCTGGATTCAGGCTTCGGTTCTTTTGACAGCCAGTACTCTGATAACTTGCATGGCCTCAGCAACTCCCACAGACTCAAGTCCCAGCAGCAGAGTGGCCTCACTGGAACCAGACACAACAACAGCAGCCCCTCCTGCAGATGCTGTTCTCACACTGGGCCCTCAACAGCTCACCCACAACACCACAGGAGCCTGGACTCTCATTGTCACCTCAGCTATGCTCACATGTTCCCACCAGCTGTGCCACATCATAACAGCCTCCCCAGCCCACTCCATTATGGCGGTGCCCCCCATCAGCAGCACAACTACTGGTCAGATCCCTTTCAGGGGCTTCCCCAAGCCACAACATCATGCAGTCTCCCCTCTTCTGTCCATTCGTCACACTCCCACGACTCTTGCTGCTCCTACAAAGGCCACGAGTATCACTCCTGGGGCCAACAACCTCCTGCTGCCTTTGACCCACAGAGGATGGAGCTCCGCAAGAATCTGTACACCATCTTCAACCCACATCTGGTGGATACAGTCATGGAAATGTTCCCACATCTGATGAACGCAGAGAAACTGGCTGAAGAGATCCTCAAGCTGAAGACTCAGAGAGGAATATTGTGATGAGCTTCTTCCCTTTGCGCCCTCAGATCAAACAAGGTACATGACCTCGGTTCTATTCTAAATACTTTTTAGTGTTTCTTTACTTGAATGATTAAAGCTGCATGCAAAGATGTTTAGTTCTGTGAAATAAAAGTGAAATTTGCCTTAATATTTATAAACAGTTTAGACATTATAAATGTTGGTGTGTCAGAGTGAATAAATTGAATTCTCCGCCTGGCCCCCTCGTATAAAGTCAGCTAAATCTCCGAAGGAGCTGATGTGAGAACACACTAGGAGATCCTCCGCAAAAATGGAGAATATCACCTTGTCATCCATGTTTTGGATAAAAAAAAAATAGTTTTGATTGTTGATGCATATTGTGTCAAATGTGATTTATTTAAAGTTCTCATGTGACAGGAAATCACTGTATAAAGTATTACTTATTCTTTTACTTCCGCTGTGGTTCTCCAGAACAGCCTGCTGTTCAGTGTTATCTCTGTGAGGTGTGTATTTCAACACATTGTGGCCAACCATTGTGTTGATTCAGGTAATCAAAGTGTCCAGGCTTGCATGTAGCGTTTACAGTCAACTGTAATCCAATAAGGAAACTGAGAAAAAGACTTTCATGCTAGTAAAGGGAATTTGTTTGGTGTGTGTCATTAGCCGTTTCCTGTAAAAAGGTTTCATGGAACACTCATAGAAAAGAGTTCTTGAAACACGACACACACGTTTGGACTAATGTGTGACTGAGGATGTGATATATACCTACTGTAAATTTAAACTGTAAGATACAGTAATTGTGTCTGTAAAAAGAAAAAACATGTCACTGTTAATAAACTAATGTGTCAGATATTCTCTTTTCCTGTTGGACTTGAACCAGTTTTTCTAAAGCTTAGTTAGTTTTTCTGTAAATAGTTTTATTTTTCCAGTAACAGAGGAACCTAGTGTCAGCACTCACTCGTGCTTACATCACAACCGACAATTCCTCCTGAATTTCACAAGTGCACTTCAGGTCACTTCTGTTTTTCCAGCTGTGATCTAAATGTACACGATTCAATGACTTTATTCGGACGGCATTATTCCAGTATGAACCAGATTAAGACAACAGTGTAAAACACACAGCAGATTCAGATAACCTCAACCTGAATGAGGTCATACTCACATCAAATTAAAACGTGGAGTATTAGTATTAGTCACAGTTTACAGACATGTATTAGTCTTGCGTTATAACGTTCCATTGGTGTTTTCACAGCGTTTTGCAACATCGGGTCATCCGGCAGTTACAAGCTGCTTGATGTCATAATCAGGGATGGGCATCCAAATGTATTTTAAAGTAAAATAAAAAGCACCTTTATTGTTAGTGCATCAAAATAACAGCAGCCACGCCAAGATGCATATTAAGAGAACTTAAATCTATGAATGTAGTTGTATGTATCATCTGCTTCACATTGGTTCATTCATAAACCTCCAGGCTTTGGTTTGAGTTTTTTCAGAACAATTGACTCTGAGGCGAGTTGTTCTCTATTTGCTTAGATCGAGAGGCCCTTCAGGCGAATACTTGAGTGTCATTCAGAAGAAGACAAATGTTTGCACTCAACAGGTTTGTAACACCTCCTGTTATCATACTTTAAGTTTGTGTTGGTTTTTCAGTTGAGCCTGACGTGTGTTTGAAATTCTGCATTTTTCTCTGTGACACATTTACCTTGTTGTTTGTTTTATTGACAGACCAAATCTACAATTTGCACATAAAGAACGGTCACACACTGTAACACACTGCTTCACACAGTGTTGAAATAGTAATAGTATGATACTTCAGAGACATGAAACACAACATGCAGATTTTATATGTGTACTATTGTGTTCTACAAAAATACCTCATTACAATAATGCATCAGATCCATGACTGTAACTACTGTTCTCTGGTCAGTTGGTCCTCTATAGAAAAGCTTGGCGTGATGTATTCTCGTCATTCCCAGGCCATCAGTAGTTTGTGGAATGGTACAAAGGCACCGTATCCAGGTTTGCTGCAAAGGGCAAAAAGCAAAGTCAAAATTGAAACTGAATAAATCAACAAAAGATAAAGTAACAGAGAAAACATGACATTTGCATTAAAGCTTTCACATGTGCAACCTATTTAAGTTGCGGGTAATTATTTAATTTCACCATCAACAGAGGACGAGATTTAAGTCAAATGAGTTCACTCCTTACATGCTGTAATAAGAGCTATCAACTTGATCTCAGACTCAGATTTGCTAATTCAGGTCTGTCACTAAGGATTTGCTCAAGTATGTGCGGAGGCAGCGTTTGACAGTTGAATACCTGCTGTCAGTCGTGTTGCGTCACAGTCACAGAAGCTTCATTTTTCTTTGATCGCACAATAAGGAAATGAAGTCAGTTACCATTCAAAGTAGCTGTGTCCCCTGTGGCTGCCGCCACGCAGCCCGTGATCAGGTGTCTGCAGCTCCACGCAAAGGTGGAGTTCTGACTCCCCCTGCAGGTGGCCCAGGTAACGGATTGTTCCCGTGCTGACTCGTCCAGAAGGCAGCATGATCCTGACCCGGTGGCCCGGCTGCAGGTCCATGGGGGAGTGGGGGACAAAAACCCGGTGGGGCCCATAGGACGTCCTCCACGATCTCACACTGAAGGAACAGGAAGGCTCAGTCAGTAACGAAGCCTGAGACGGTGAAAGTCAATTCTACAGGACTTTAATTTAGGGGTTCCTAAAACTCCCATGGCCCCAGCTCCTAAAATAAAGATTCCAGAGACTTGTGACCCGTCTTCTCCTCTGTGGTGCCTGGTTGAAGCATATGAATGATATTTATTTTAGTTTGTAGTTTCACATTTGCTGCACACACGTCCTGTACCTGGTGACTGAAGACGAGGAGGATGCGAGTCTTGAGCTCAGCGCTGTCGATGAAGATAAGAGACTGTCTGACAAACTGCTTGTGCAGCCGTCACCTCTTGACGACAGCTCACTTCCTCTGTGTAGGTTCATGTGTCTTGAGAGACCTGTCCATTAGAAAACAGCACGTTAAGTCTCTGGTCAATCTTAAACTCTTGCATGTATGAAAAACGTCATATTTCTGTCATTTTACTTGAGCTCTCCTCAAACACTTCTCCATTGTCCACTCCTGACTCTCCCTGATCATCACAAGTGGCCACGTTCACCAACACTCCAGCCTCAGAGGTCAGCTGAGGACACAGAGGGGAGTTATCATTAACAAAGTCATAAACACACACACACACTCACACACACACACACACACACACCTGACCACGTAGCTCTTCCTGTTTTCTCTGCAGCTCCGCAAACCTCCTCTCCCATGACACTCTCTCACAGGCGACCCTGGTCTTGAGTGACAGGATGTCTTTCTCAGCTTTGGTCAGTCTCTTGTTCAGGCCGGTCGTGCGGTCGGGGCTCCCCGGTATGGCTGCGATCCCTTTACTTTCAAAACCTGACAACAGAAGTCAACTGGTCACCGAGACACATGTGCTCTTGCACGTGTGCGGAGAAAACTATATTTACAGCAGGATGCAGATAAGATATTTTTCTTTAGGAAGCAGATAAAAAAGAAATTCATTTTTATTAGTTTACATCTATAATTCCAATAAAGAAGTTCAGTTATTAAAATTATGATTATTATTATTATCAGCTACTCTGAATAGAATTAAACCAGTTAAATAAAATCTGTTATAATCAAAGGTTACAATTTTATTCATAGATTTTTATCGCTGACTCTTACCCACAAGTTGTTTCATCTGTCGGCTCGTCTCCTCTGTAATGTGTTGTTCCCTTGGCAAGAATCTGATTGCATTATATGGGCAAATCTGCAAGATTGATACACAATAAATAACAACCCCGTCTAAACTGGCATTCAAATTTCAATACAAATGCCTCATGCACTCACCCAAAGGAACCTGCAGGTGCACAGTATCCCTTTAAATGTCCATGTAAACACAGTCCACAGGATATAAGCCGTCATGTTGGAGCATTTTCTGACTGGAGAACGAATGATATGACAATCCTGTCAAAATAATATTTAAGTGTATTCAGGACTGTGGTTTTACTACACTGTGGCCGTCAGAGTCCAGAGGATCAGGTGTAGGCTGCTAAAGAAACTAACTCCTGTGGGTGGATGCTGCAAACTCAAACAAACACAAAACACAGACAGTGACAAGGATCAGACGGAGCTGGACACTGACCTTTGCCAGAAGCTCACCTGTAGACCGTCCCATGTGAGGTCATATGAAAATAGTGGCTCCCATTTCTGCTCAATGGGCCTCTGTGTGTAGTCCTGCACGGCCAACGCTGCTAATGTGTAGCACACAGAGCTCAGTGGCCTGTTGCTACGTATCAGGTCTGTGTGAACGCTGCTGCTGACGACTGCTGGGAAGGTAAATCTTCTCTAATCTTCTTAGTCATGCAATGACAGAGTGTAGTTGTATCCTGGCTGTTTAATTTGGTCTGCCGAGCCTCAACTGTAAACAATAGGATCCCACATGTTAAAGCTGTTGAAATCTGTCTGTTGTGTCAGTGAATCAGAAGAACTGAGGAAGAATTAAACACACGTCAGGCTAAAATGTGTTTTTACTTTTTTTAGAATGGACTCCCACAAACACTATTCTAAAATGGAACCATGATTACGAGATTAAAGTGACACTTAGTCAATAATTCTGTGTTTTCAATCATAATACAATTAAAATGTGAGATTTGGTCCCAGAATTATATGATGCAAAACAAAAACACATTTAAAATACCAGAAGGTCAACAAAGTCTATACAAAGTTCTGCACATCAAACAAACTGCCTGACCTGGTTCGTTTCATTTCCTCGATGAGATTAGTTTTCATCACTGTTCAGTGGAGGGTGCTGTTCACCAACCACGTTAAAAAGCTGTTGTTTAGGCTAGGGCAAGTATTTGTTCCCAGTTGATTATTCACAGTACACAGAGTTTTTGGTTTCAGAGTAAAGCTGGGCGTTCAAATGAAACGTGAGCCCACAGTTTCCATCTGTACGGTGTGAATTTAGTCCGAACTCCTTCCTTGTCAATTTGTTGCTTTTATGAAAGTAAGAAAAACACTCATCTCAGGTCATGTCCTTACACAAGCACACGCATTTTACATACGTGTAAACAAACAACCAAACAGTGAAGCTAGATTCACACCGTTTCATCAGCTGTGTAATATTTTTTATGTCATTTGATTATTGTTTAGAAGACAGGCAATATTTTGCAAAGTAATTTTTTTTTATATTTTAGATGGACGTATATCTGGACTTAGTGAAATTATTACCAAGATACAAAAACATAATCATACTCTGTAAGTATACACTATATATTTTTTATACAGGAGATTTCTCTGACTGTACAGCCAAAATACTTTTTAGGCCACAGAGATTTGTTTGCTGCAGTACTGGGAGTGGCCCCAAGGGGACAAAAAGATAGCAAAGCTAAGTGGCTGCACTTACCAACTAATAAATGCAATGACTACCAGATGATGCAGACTGAGCCTTTTGGATGCAGTCATTATTTCACTGAGTGATATACAGAATGTAGAATAAACAATCACATCATGCCGCTGGGTATGTCAATTAACGAGCAGATAATTCTCTTACAGTAAAATTCAAGGCCGAAATTTATGTTATTTTTAGAATATTTCAAATGATCCTGTTTATCCTTCCATTATTCATCCAAACACAACAGACACATTTCTTTGTTTCCTGCAGCTGCCATGAAGAGAGTAAGGATTTCTGTCACCCAAATTGTGCAAGTGCCTTTTGTGTCGTGTCCAAGAATTCTAGGTTCTTAGGGCCACAAAGGGGTAATTGTAGTGTGAGGGGGCTGGTGGGCAGAGAGCGGGGTCTGATTTCACATTGTGTTGAACAGAAACCAGAAGGTTTCCTATACAACAGCCCGCAGGGCACTGCAATCTCACCTGTACTCTTATAGGCCAGCAAAGGCTTAATCCACTGAGTTATTTTAGTAAATCTTTAATTGCAGGGTGCACAGTTTTAATTAAACTTTATCAAAGCAACCCAACACTGCAGCACGTTGTAATGTAATATCGTCTGTTATGTTAAATCGACTTACGGGAAAATGGGATTTAAAGATATTGTGATAGCTGATGGTGAACGGGGAAATTAAAGTATTCATGTTGGGGATGGAATCTGTTTTTAAATTCATTTCTAAAATTTGACCGTATCAATATCAAAATATCCAAAATTCCCCCCCGTCAGAGATCATCACCCCATCAATTCTCAGGCATCTTTAGATCCGCCCAGCAACAGGAGGCTGTTAGTCTCCTCCTCTCACCCTGGTATAGCTGTGCAGGTGAGAGTTTCCACTTATTACGTTGCCACTCCAGTGCTGTCAGCAGGAAGGAGAAGGGGGGAGGTGACGGAGGGCAACAGAGAGAAAAGGAACACCAGTGTGAGAGAGAGAGCTCATTCACTTCAAACCCAGCTGACAAAACGTCCTGCAGAGTGCACCCCAGGTGAGTCGCCTCCACCGATTTTAAATGATGACTTCTGTATGTTTTAAATGTAACTAAATGCAGCTTAGACGGGGAATCTCAAGGTGATGAAGGACAAAAACTGTGTTACCACAGTGGATGCTGCAGCAGGGGGATGTTGTGGGATCGTTTATGATTTGCTAAAATTTGCTAGAAACCATATTTAATGTGTAAGGTATGTTATCTAATGAGAATATGAATGAAAAACAAGTATTTTCATATATATAGATTCATTCATATAATTTATTGAGAGTCTTAGTTTCCAAATAACTAATTCCCCTCATTTCAGATAGCTTGTAATTTTGTTGTTTTGTTTTTAAATCTCAAAACTGCCTTAAAATGAACTGATTCTGTTTGATAATGAAATTACTCCCAACAAAAAAAACATTGTCAGGTTCTGTGTTTGTAGCGTCTCCTCAGACAGGCGTCATTTATTCTTATCAAAGTGAGTAGAAATGTGTTTTCTTATGAAGGTTTCCCTTTTTCTATATTCTAATACAAGATGATGCTGTTATTTTAACTGGTCTTTGGCGTCAACTTCATGTTTCATATATATAACATGATGAGAATGTAAGTTTAAGTCAGGACGACCACGAGGATGTGGTTTAAAACATGAGCTCTTCAGCAGCTGGACACACTTCATCATGCAAAGAACAGAATAACTGTTAGATATCCAAACTTCACTTCACCAATTAAACTCAGCATTTCGACCTAGATGCCAAGATGGCTTATGTTGTCACTCAGTTTCCAGGGTGTAGAGCCCTGAGGAGTCCATGCTGGAATCCAAGGGAGAGGGGAAAATAACAAGCCACCTGACGGTTCTCCCAAGGGAACTGATTGAGGAACAAACACATTTTAATTGTGTTTGCTGATTTGCGAACAGAGACACTTATCATATAATTGCCAGTGACTGCATGACCTCATGAGGGGGGGAATATCACTAAAAACTGCTCGTCAGGCTTAAGCCTAAAATGTTTTATTCCAGGAGCTGCAGATGTTCGGGAATAGGTAAGTGCAGCATTAAATCTCACATTTATCAGTTTCGGGTTCTGTGACTCAGCCAAACAATTAAAGGATCAGTTTCAGCAGAACAATTAGAGGATTGTAAAGAGAAGAGAACACAGATGACTCCCACAGATCTAAAGAGCTGCCCACTGAGCGCGACAGTAATTCAGTGAGTCCTATTAGCATGGGTAAACAGTTTGAACTGTGCCCACATTACCATTCATCATAAAGATCCATTGTCTGCGCACAAATTAAGTTTGTGTTGCTCAGTTTGTTCTTGTTTGTTGGTTGTCATTACGTCTGCAACAAAAACCTTGTGTACTTTAATAGGAGAGCATCCTGCAGCTGCCCATTCATGTTTATTGTGTGTTTTACCTTAACATGATTTTATTACAGGCTGGACAAAGCGCTCCCACCCTTTTCTCCACATGACAATGGCCTCTACCACTGCTGTTAAAGACACAGGTATGAGTGTGTGTTTGCTCAGGCTTTTAAAATCATTGTCAGTGGTCACAGACACGTTCCCTTATTTGAACAAACCTTGTCTGTCAAGTTACATCAGTTGTGTTTGTATATCATGAATGTGTCTCATAAAGATATTGGAATCTGTACAACATACACAATTCATTACCTTAGACCTAAAATCAAGATATGGAAAAACTCCAGAAAGATAAAGTAAACAGAAATAAAAAATAGTTGAATTTCACATGTGAAAATCACAGTAATAATTCAGTCAAAGCGCAGGAATATACAGTATAGTAGGATCTGTTTGTCTTCTCCTGCCGAGTGACGTGTGTGTGTTGCAGTGCAGGTGTTTTTAAAAGATGCTCCAACTTCTCAACCAACTTCTTCTGCCAATAGCGACTGTTGGTTGATGTTTTCTATCCAAATTAATTCAGTGTACTCTAAAGAGTAAATTATTTGACTGCAATACATGATCAACTTTGTAAATTTAATGGTCCATAGTTGCCAAACTGTAAAGATATGAACAGGGGCAGTCTGGAAACTGGGACTCAATTTTCACCGTCCCAAAAGCAAAGACGTCCCACTGTCGCTCTCCAGTGAATTAAACGATGACACATGCACGTTGGCTTGGTGATTATTCACAATGCTGCTTGTGTGGCCTCACACCTGCATTTACTCCAAACCAGCTCCTCTGATGCGTGCATTTTATTTTGGTAAAAAGCGTCTGCAGCCACGCTAACAGCCATGTGAGGCTGTATTTAGCCACAGTGGTAACATGCTAACATGCTCACTAAGACTTTTGGCCATCATCCATCATGCAGCTCTTTATCAGATGTAAATTGACTTTAGCATGTCGACTTGCTAACATTTGCTAATGAGCATTCTTCAGTATGTATTCAGATTTTATTCTCTTCTCATAACTTCCCTTACAAGAAGTTAAAGCGAAGCTAAAAATACCTGCCCTGCTGCTATAGAGGCAAAGTTTCACCAAATTAGTTTGATCACTTAATGGTAGTTTCTGAATATTTAAGTCTGTGACAGACTGAAACTCCCATTCCGAAGCACACATTGCTTTCATGGCGAAACTTAACATAACTACCTCAGTCTGATGTTGCACAGCATGATTGAAAATAAACTACACATACCTGCACTTTATACATATTTGTTGTTACTGTATTTATATTTATGTCAAGGAAGTTCGTAGATTTGAATTTGAATTTGATAAAGACCTACGTTAATCCTAGAGATACAGATGTTTAAATATTTTACTGGATAAGAGAAAAACCTAAACAGATTAGTTCCAAAGTATTGAAGGTTCCATCTCTGGGTACCATGTCCATCTGTATCAAGTTTAATGGCAATCCATTGAACCGCCAGGAAAGGTACCAAAGTGGGATAATAAATATCTGTGCATAATGGCGTGGCAATGGATCTAAGCCTTGACCGATGAACATGTCCCATGAGACACCCTGCTAGCAAAGATCTCTAATAAGCCATTTTGAGAAATGCACTTTTCCTGATATTATGAAAAGCTTAATACTGCAATTAAATACATGTTTCCTACTATGTTTCCCCAATTGTCAGGTTTCACAGGCGCCCTGCTCCTCCTCCTGTTAGGACTGCTCCTGCCTGCAGTATTAGTGTCAGGGCAAAATAACACAACTGCAGCCGTGACAATGATCAACACAGCCTCACAGCCAACCACCATGACGTCTGGAGCAGACAGCAGCACCACCCAGGCCCCCACAGCAAATGCTGCAACCCAATCCATGACCGTCACCACAGGACCCTCCACCTCCCAGGCCCTAAACACCACCTCTGGGGCCACAACAATGACCACACAGTCCACAAGGCCCGACATCAGCAGCACCATCCAGTCTACCACCTTAGGAGGTACGGCACTCAACACCACCACCCAGTCCCCCACAACCACTGCAACCTCCGGG